GGCCGCCGCCCCAAGGTTGGGCGCGACGGAGGAGGCGGGGGTGCGGGAGGGGGTGGTGGTGGAGTCGGGTCGTCTGGTGCTGGAGCGGACGAGGGGACCCTGCCCAGTCCAGCTGAGCCGCCGCCCCTGCAGTCGCAGCAGCAGCAGCAGCAGCCGCCGCAGTCGCAGCAGCCGCAGCCTTCGCAGCAGCCGCCGCAGACGCGGCAGACGAGTGTCCTCCCGCCCGGGTGGCCCGGCGCTGGCGGTGGTCGGGCGCGTGGTGGTGTGCCGAGTGGTGGTTCCGGAGGCGTGCGTTGTCAGTACCAGATCCAGACCGGTCCTCGCCGCGGCTTCGTTTGCGGTAAGCTCGGTCACTCCACTCCCCGCTGTTTTCGTCGCCTGGACGACCTCTTTCGTCAGCGCTTCGGCCCGTCGCCAGACCTCCCGGACTGGCACAGTTTGCTTAGTCGTCAGATTCACATTTTTGATATGGACATGGATGCCATTGTTTCTGCTCTGCATGTGATGTATGCTGATGACTCTAGTGTGCTTCCCGCTTATTACTCACTGTCGGATAGTGTAGGTGTGCCTAGGTTAGCCTCCCCTGCTGCGTCAGGCGTAGGATCCCCTGCTTTGTGTAGTCTTGGTGCTTCCGCCGTCGTTCCGTCGCCAGACGCCTCTGCTTCTCTTTCCTTCATCTTGGACTCTGGTGCTTCCCGGTGTTTCTTCCGCGACTTCACCACACTGACGCCGCTTCCTGTTCCTGCTGCCGTTTCTCTTGCTGACCCCTCCGGCGGTCCGGTAGTCGCCCGGAGTTCCACCACCCTTCCCTGTCCGGCGGTTCCTTCGGGCACTCTCACAGGTCTGCATATCCCCTCGTTCTCTAGGAACCTAGCTGGTGTCGGCTGCCTCCAGGACCTTGGCGTTACCACTACGTTCCCTGGTCACGAGTGGTATGCTGTCTGTACCGAGGCCGCCATGGGTGCCCCCCTGTCCACGTTCCCCCGGGACCCGGTGTCCGGCCTGTTCACTCTGGACACCGTGACCCCCCCGGCTGGAGCGCTCCCTTAGGTGGCTGCGTCTACCCAGGTTGCTGCTGCCTGCTCCTGTTGGTCCCTCACTCACCCGACTCTCCTTTGGCACCACCGCCTAGGTCACCCTGCGCTCCCGCGTCTGCGTCACATGTCCCAGCACGGTCTTGTCCTTGGTCTCCCAGGTTCTCTCCCCGCGTTTCCCTCCTCCCCAGCCCCACCTTGCACGCCTTGTGTCGAGGGTCGGCTTCGCCGTGCCCCTCACTCCTCGTTTCCCCCTACCGCCGCGCCGCTGCAGACCCTGCACATGGACGTCTAGGGCCCTGCCCCCGTCCCTGGGCCGCGTCGCGAGCGCTACTTCCTTGTGCTAGTCGACGACTTTACTCGCTACACCACAGTCTTTCACCTGGAGCGCAAGGCCGACGTGCCTGGCGCTCTCATCCCCTGGCTTGTCTCTGCGCGTGTCCACCGTGGTCTCCATGTCTTGCGTCTTCACTCAGACCGTGGTGGCGAGTTTGCCTCAGGTGTCCTTGGTCGCTTTTGTCGTGCGGAGGGCATCACCCAGACGTTCACCCTACCGGACTCCCCACAGCAGAATGGGGTCGCTGAGCGACGCATCGGTGGTCATGGAGGTGGCTCGCACCCCATGATCCATGCGGTGCACCCATTTCTGTGGTCGTTCGCTGTGCGCTACCGACTTGTCACCAGGACTTAACCTGATCCATGCCGGTGCACCCATTTTCTGTGGTCGTTCGCTGTGCGCTACGCTTGTCACCAGCTTAACCTGTGGCCGCACCCTCAGCAGCCGCAGGTTTCGCCGACCCGTCTTAGGACTGGGTCTCCTGGTGACGCGTCTGCGTTCCACGTCTGGGGCTGCCTTGCTCACGTCCGTGCCTCCGGCACGGACAAGCTCACTGCCCGCACCTTCCCTGCGTCTTCCTCGGCTTTCCCCTTGACGCGCCCGACTGGCACTTTTACCACCCGCCGTCTCACCGCTTCTTTCACTCTCGCGACGTCCCTTGCGAGTCCGCCCTACTACCGTCGCTCCCCCCTGCGTCCCCCGTACCCCCCCCGTCCTGGCACTCCTCCCTAGTCCCTGCCCCCCCCCCTCCTCCCTGTCCTGCCCCCTGCCCACCCCCCCCGTCTCCCGTTGACTCTGCTCCCCCCCCCCCCCCCCCCCCCCCCCCCCCCCCCCCCCCCCCCTCGGCCCCGCCGCCCCGCCGTCGCAGCACCCGTTCGTTGACTCTGGGGGTGCTAGTCCCGGTAGCCCTGGGGGTGGATCCTCTAGGGGTGCTGGTGTGGAGTGTGCCAGTGGTAGCCGCGGAGTCGCTTGCAGTCCCGGTGTCGCCGTTGTGCCACCGCAGCAGCAGTCCCCGCCGGTGTCAGCCCTTCGCCTGCTCGGCCTTCCGTCCCCTGACCCTGCGGCTGTTCCTCTCCGACCGTCTCCTCCTCTTCCCGTCTACGGCCCTGTGTTCCCTCCGCCGGACTTGTCCCAGGCCCGTCTTCCTCCTCATTCCCCTCCTGTGTCCCCTCCCCTGTCTTCTGACCCGACTCCTCCGTCGCACGTCTGGTCTCACCGTCCCTCCCGTGCTCGTCCTGCCTCGCCTGTCTTGCGCTCCCACCCTATGTTGCTTCGTTCCCACGCGTCTCGTCCTCCCCTTCTCCTGTCGCCTCATCCGTCCTCCCTTATTGTTGCACCCCCCCCGCTGTCTGACTACCTTCGTGCCGCTCGTCCTCTTGTTCCTCGGGTCCTTGCCTCTCTCGTTACCGACCCGTCTGTTCCGGTCTCGTGCTTTGACGCTCTTGTTGCTGCGGTCGCTGACTTTGCCTCTACCCACCGCCTTGACTATGCCACCGCTCTGGTCTCTGACCCTGCCTGTCCTCCGTCTGTCGGGGGTGCTCCTGCCCTTGGCAGTGACGTCCTGGAGGACCGCCAGTACGAGCTTGCTTTCCTGTCCGAGGCTGCTCCCCATCTCTGTTCCATGCTGCTAGTCCGTGAGGGTGACCCAGACGCTTTCGACATCCCGACCCCTCGCACTTACGCTGAGGCGACCTCGGGACCCTGGGCCTCTCAGTGGATAGCTGCCATGGAGCAGGAGATGGCATCTTGGAGATCCACCGGCACCTTCGTCGACGCAGTTCCCCCGCCTGGGGTGAACGTAGTCGATGGCCGCTGGCTCTTCAAGGTGAAGCGCCCTCCTGGAGAGCCGCCTGTGTTCAAGGCGCGCTACGTGGCTAGAGGCTTCAGTCAGCGTGAGGGGGTGGACTTCTTCCAGACCTTCGCTCCGACCCCGAAGATGACTACTCTTCGGGTTCTGTTACACCTAGCTGCTCAGCGTGACTACGAGCTTCACTCCCTCGACTTCTCCACTGCCTTCCTTCAGGGCAGCCTACACGAGCAGGTCTACTTGCATCGCCCTCAGGGCTTTACTGGCACCTTCCCTCCTGGGACCCAGTGGCTCCTGCGGCGCCTCTTCTACGGCCTGCGCCAGGGCTCCCCGTGAGTGGCACGACACTCTCCGTGCTACGCTTGCTGACCTGCAGTTCTTTCCGTCTTCCGCAAACCCCTCACTCTTCGTTCGTGCTGGCCAGACTCTGTTCTACATCCTTGTTTACGTCGACGACCTGGTCTTTGCCACAGCAGACAGGGACGCACTAGCCTCCGTGAAGGCAGAGCTGCTGAAGAGACACACGTGCACTGACCTTGGAGAACTGCGCCGTTACCTTGGCTTGCAGATCTCCAGGGACAGAGCAGCGCGCACCATCACCCTGACTCAGTCACACTTGGTGCGCCAGGACCTTCAGAGGTTCAGCTTTCAGTTCTCCTCTGCACAGCCCACCCCTCTGCCTGTAGACCACAGACTCTCGGCTCCAGTGTCTGAGGAGTCGGTAGAGCCCAGCGGCCCCTACGCAGAGCTGGTGGGTTGCCTCATGTACCTGATGACTTGCACTCGTCCAGATCTCGCATACCCTCTCAGCATTCTGGCTCGCTTTGTGGCCACAGGTAGACACCGACCACAGCACTGGTCGGCCGCTAAGAGGGTTTTGCGTTATCTAGCGAGTACATCGGGCATGGAGTTAGTTCTCAGAGGACGCAGGCCAGTGGTCCTTACTGGACACACAGACGCTTCGTGGGCAGACGATGCCGAGACACTCCGGTCTACCCAGGGCTACTGCTTCAGCCTTGGCTCAGGTGCCGTCTCGTGGAGAGCTACCCGCTCCTCGTCTGTTGCCCAGTCCAGCTGTAAGGCTGAGATCTACGCTGATGCCATGGCGGCACAGGAGCTCCGCTGGCTGACCTTCTTGCTCACTGACTTAGGTGAGCGGCCTAGCTCTGCCCCGGTCCTGTTCGCTGACAACAGGGCCATGATCCTCCTGTGTCAGGAGCCTCGACTCGAGGGCAGAGCGAAGCATATTCAGCTGCGAGACTTCCTCCTACGCGAGCTACAGCAGCGACGCCAGGCTCGCGTAGTACACTTGGCCTCAGGTGCCAACACAGCTGATATCTTTACGAAGGCGCTTGCGCCTAAAGATCATCAGCGGCACTGCGTACAGCTTGGTCTAGTTCCTGTAGCCTCTCACTTGCTAGGGCCTTGACTTTGTACTGTCCTTTATATGCATACTCAGACTGGACTTGTGTCCTCTCCCAGTGGCTGGACTAGTAGTGCCGCCCTGGTCTTGTTCTTGCCTTGTCTCAACTCCGTCTGACTGGTCTTTTAGACCCTTGTCTCAGAGGTTGGACTAGTAGTGCCGCCCTGAGCTGCTTGTTCAGGTCATTCCCCTATGCAGTCTAGGGGGTGTGTCAAACATAAGCATAACTCATGTTTGTATAGACTGTATAGGGTCGCCTCTTAGAGGGTACAACACTCTTAGGTATATACCCTTGTACTCTCTCTCTCTATACAATCACTTCAGTTCTAAGATACAGTTCAGAAACGCTTAAGTCCTTTGAGACATTTCCAACAGCGTGTGCGGTGTGCTAGCACCTACCAAGCCTAAGGGGGTGTGTCAACTTATATATTATTTATATATATTTGTGTAGGCTTGGTAGGAGTTGTGTCATATAATGGATCCTACTGTAAAGGGTACAACACCCTTGTATCCCTCTCTCTTCTAGTCCAACCCCCTTTTCTCTCCTCACTTTTCTCCCTAGCTAAAACCAATCGCCATTCTCATGCCTAGCTAGCTTCTTAGCTCCTTTCAACAACTGGTGCCCCACTCAGTGCTGCATAAGAGGGGAGAGGGGAGAGGGGAGAGGGGAGGAGAGTTGAGGGTAGAGGTGGGATGGGAGTGAAAGAAAAGGAATGGACATGAGTTGCTTGCTGCACGAGTGCAGCAACTGAATGGAATCATCCACCGTCCGTGGACGGAGCATAGGAAGGCACGTGTGTTGACATGGGGACGTCTCTTAGAAGGGTTTGGGGCAGGATAGAGGGGCCAAAGTGCAGCTGCAACTTGCAAGTGCAGTAGAAACTGTAAGCACACACCACCACAAGGGGGAGCAGACATACACGGCGCCACGGCGTCCCTGTTTGTCGCCGCACGCGCTACTCTCCGTACCTTGGCTTTGCCCCATTGGCGGGTGAACATCCCTTCCAGCATGGACTGCCTTGCAGACTTGGGCTGCGATTTGCCACTCCCCAGCCCTCCATTCACCCTGCTGCTGCTACTGCTACTGCTGCCGCTGTTAATACTACCATGGCTGCCATAGATGGCCCCCTCCTCCCCAGACAGTGGTGCGCTGGGGGGGGTTAACACTGAGACACCACCAGAGGCAGCAGCAGCACCAGAAGCGGAAGCAGCTGGGGATGAGGTGGAGGCAGAGGAAGGGCGCATGGATGAGAAGAAGGGAGCGCCACATGCCAGCATCATCCGCCCATGAGCGAGAGGTGACGCTGGGTCCTCCTCCTCTCCTCTCCCCTCTCCCAATCCTCCCCCTCCTCCCCCCCTTCCTGTCCCCTTCGCTGCCTTGATGCCCTTGTGAGCCTCCCCTTCTGACACGCTGCGACCAATGCTGCTGCTGCTGGTCACACTGCATGCTACAACCTGCCCTGGCCACACCCCCACTGCGTTCCCCCCTGCCCCAGCTCCCCCTGCCTCTCCCCGTGCAGACCCAATCAGGACTACAGGCATGCTCCTCTCTCCCTGCTGCTGCTGGTTCAGCTGGCTCTGCCCGTTCTGCTCCTGGGGGAGCTGATGCTGGTCGGAAGTAGCCTCGCCACAGCAGCCACTGTCCGTAGCAACATCGACTCGAAGCCGAGCCCGCAGCTCCGCCCGCCGTGCTGCCTGGAGCATCCCCTCCCCCTCCTCCTCCCCTGCTTCTCCTGCTTCAGCGTCCGCTGCTGCCACCGCAGCAGCAGCGGCCGCCTCTATCTCTGCCGCTCTTGCTGCTCCTGCTGCCGCTTCTGCTGATGCTCCTGCTGCTGCTGGTCCTCCTATCCCTCCCCCATGCGATGGCCTTAGTGCGAAGGACAGCTCCTGGCCCAGCCACGGGACAGGCTGAGGAGGCTGAGACGGGTGAGCAGGGTGGGGCACATGAGGAGAGGACGGAGAGTGGGAACCCGCCTCTCTCTCTTGCACCGGAGGCAGGGACGCCACTGCTGCTCCTGCTGCTCCTGCTGCTCCTGCTGCTGCTCCTGCTGCTGCTCCTGCTGCTGTTGCAGTTGCAGCTGCAGCTGCTTCCCCACCTGCATCCACCATGCTCCCTTCCCCTTCTCTCCAGGATCCCTGAAAAGACAGGCCGGTGCTGTTGAAAGACGAGGAGGGGGAATGGCTGGCAGGCGTGCATGGGGGAGGCGCACCTGGCCGGCTGCCTCTGGGCGTGTCATACGACATGCACGACTCACAATCCGTCACCTCACCACCCACACCATCTACCCCACCTGCTCCTCCTCGCCCCCCTCCTCTACCCATTCCCGCACCCCCCTCTCCTACTCCGTGCCCTCCACCTCCTCCCTTCCTCCCTCCAAACCCTCCTCCTCCTTCCCCCTCTGCTATCCCGCCTCCTAGTCCGCCCTCCATCACAACCTCACCGTCCCCATCACCATCCGCATTCCCCCCCACAGCAGGGCAGTAGTCGAGCACAAGGATCTCGGACCGTACTATGCCATCGTCCTCTAGCACCATGGACGCGCCCTTGCCCGCCGCACACACCCGCCGTACCACCTCGCTCTCGGGCTTGTCCCTCACGAGAATGTTCATGCTCGTTCCCAACGGCTTCTTTGGAGCGTGAGTCGCAGCAGCAGCCGCAGCAGCACCAGCAGCAGTTGAGGCGGGGGCAGCAGCAGCAGCAGCAGCAGCAGCACTTGTACCCTCTACAAGCTCTCCCGTCTCTGTACCTGTCCTGCCGTTGGCAGCAGGAGCGCGGTTGACATAGGCCCCGCTGGTGGCACAAAAATCATCGTCGAACGAGGAGACGGACGATATGGAGGAGATGGAGGTGGAGGAGACGAGAGGCACAGAGCCCTGAGGGGACGGCAAGTGCTTGTCATCATCGACCACCTGCGGATCTGCTGATTCAGGTTGTGACTCAGCCAGGTCTTGCTGCACTAAGTCTGCCTGCCCTAGCTGTGCCTGCGCTGACTGCGATTGCAGCAGCAGCAGCAGCTGCTGCTGCTGCTGGTCGCATCGTTCCTGCAGCAGTTGCGTGGGGAGGAGTGAAGAAGCAACGGGCTGAGACTTGTAGGTGCCGGGCGCGGCCTTGGTGCTTGATGAGGCAGAGTTGCCTCTAGAGGCATCGGCGGAAAGTGGAGGAGGAGGAGGAGCAGCAGCAGCAGCAGCAGAAGCAGCAGCAGCAGGATGTGCAGCAGCAGGTGCCGCAGAAAGACTGGAAGACGAGGCGCGGGAGGAGTTGGCGGATCGAGAGCGGCGAGACTGCTGGCGTGACGAGGCGGACGGGGAGGAGGCAGCGTTAACCTTGGAAGCAGCACTGGCACTAGCACTACCAGCAGCACTACCAGCAGCACCGACAGTTGTAGCACCATTGCCAACCTTCACTCCACTACTGGCAGCACGAGCAGTAGCAACAGTGCCAGCAAAACCATCACCATTAGCAGCAGCAGCAGCAGCAGCAGCCGCGGAGCCACCTCTGGCCTTGCTATGGCTAGAGTGTGAGGGAGACTCGACCCAGCAGCTGTCCAGCTTGCCCCCTGACTCAGAGTAACCCCGTCGTAACTGTCGAGCCTTGCTGTCCTGCTTACCCTTGCTGCTCTTCGCCCCCTTATCATCATCAACCAAAGCCGCCTCCCTACCTCTCCCACCGCTGCCTCTCACTCCTCCCCTTGCAAAATCACCAGCAGCAGTAGCAAGAGCAGCAGCAGCAGAAGAAGACGCAGAAGGCTCACCTGGGAGCCAACCGGAAGTAGGCACCTTTGGAAACATGGACACGGTTCGGGGCGGGGACGGGTGCTGACGAGAAGCAGATGCACCACCACCCCCCACTGCCCCTGCTGCTGCTGCAGCACCGTCTGCCACCCCTGCTGCCCCTGCTGCCCCTGCTGTTGCTGCTGCTGCTCGAGTTGCTCGAGCTGCTCGTGCTGCTCGTGCTGTAGCAGAGGGTGTGAGCAGGGCACCGAGGGTGGAGGAGCCAGCACGAGAAGGAGACGCAGGAGGGGAGGCCGTGGGCGAGGGGAAACCGTTCAAGGCCAGAGTGGGTGCAGAGGCAGCTAGAGGGAAGTTGTGGGTTCGAAGGAGGCGATGAGCGAGCGGCCTGGCTAACCCACCAGCAGCAGCAGCAGCAGCAGCAGCAGCAGCAGCAGCAGCAGCAGCAGCGGTGGCGGCGGCGGCAGCAGCAGCAGAAGTGGGAGTGGAGGTGGAGGTGTGAGAGGTTGTGCCTGCTGCTGCTTTCTTCCCTACGGGGCTTTTCTTGATGGACCCCTGTCTGTTTGATACCAGACCACTGCCGGCTGCTGCTGCTGCTGTTCGCTGCAGCTGCACTGGCCGGTGATCGTCAAAATAGGACGGCAGGGCCAGCTCTTGTAGCAGATGGATTTGCTGCTGCTGCTGCTGCTGCTGTTGGTGCTGTTGGTGAGGGTGATGTCTGTGCTTGGATGCAGGAAGAGACTTGCCCCGTGCAAGCTTCAAGTGAAAGCTTTGATCGGGGGCCATAGCATGGTCTGACACATCGCTATTGCCACTTCTGCCACCAATATCACCACCATCACCATCACCATCGCTACTACCATCAGCAGAGGCACGACAGTTACCAGCAAACTGCTCGCCTCTCAAGCCCGCACCGCCACTTCTCGGAACTACTAGGGACTCCAGTGCATTCTTGGGAACGCTCTTTGCCTTGCGGAAAGTAGCACGCCTTTGCGCTGCTGCTGCTGCTGCTGCTTCTGCTGATGCTGTTTTCACTGTTGTTGCTCCTTTCCCTGTCCCTGCTGGCGCAGCAACAATATCCCTTCTACCTTTCTGCTTGTCCGACCTATACCCACCTTCATCCCTACCCCTATCTCTATCACTATCCCTGACAGTATGCCTAGCTTTACCATCACCTCTGGCTCTTTCTCTGTCTCTATCACTCTCTCTATCTCTTTCTCTATCCTTATCACTATCTCTGGCTCTGTCTCTATCTTTATCGTGACCCGTCAGAACAGCCACTCTAAGATTACCTCCTCTCAACGCCATGGCATCCCTGCCACCACCACCCTCTCTCCTCGCCTCTCTCCCCTTCCCTCCCCTGCTATTACTCCTCTCCACTGGATCAGTCACCCCACGCCTTAACGCCCTCGCCTTGTCCGCTCCCTTACCACTGCTGCCACTATAAATACTGTCACCACCACCACCACCACCACCACCACCACCACCACCACCACCACCACCACCACCACCACCACCACCACCACCACCACCACCACCACAGCCGCCGCCACCGCCACTGCCGCTGCCCCTGGCGTCGCCTTTAAGGCTCTCAGTTTCACTCTCATCCACCATTCTCCCTCTCCCACTTCCATCCAGCGCCCCGGGCCCATCTTCCTTCCTCCCCTTCCCCTCCCTCTTCCCCACCCCAGCCTGCACCCCCAGACCTCTCCTCTTGTCCACCCTCTCGCTCTCGATCGACCCCTCTGCTGCACCGTAGCGACGAGCGTCGTGGTTACCGCGGTGGTAACCAGCACCAGGGGACCCGTCTCGCGCAGAGGTGACTCGCTCAGCAGGGGCAGTCCACGTGCGGGAGAGAGGGGGCCGGCGGTCCAACACAGGCATGGGACTCAGTGCCACCCCATCCTCCGCCTCCTCCTCTTCCTCTTCCTCTTTCTCCTCCTCTTCCTCAGAACGCGTTTCCTGCTGTGCTGCTGTCACCCTCGACAAGGCTTGTCCGAAGCCAGAAGCAGAATCCGTAGGGAAATCGGAATCAGAGGCGGAAGCGGAAGGAGAGTGCAAGTCACTGCTGCTGTCAGCACGCAGCGATTCGGGAAGGGAGTACGGATCAGCTGCAGGTGCTTGATAGGAGTGAGGGTGGGAGAGGGAGTGAGGGTAAGAGGGGGAGTGAGTGTGATTGGCAGCTGGTATTATTGACGTGTCGAGGAGGTCAGTGGGAGGAGCAAAGGCGAGCGCACTGTGGACCCAGGGGAGCTGGCCCTCCGCCAGCAGTCTCACTGCCTCCCCTTCATCCTCTACAACTGTGCGTGGGGCGCTCTGGGCTTTGCGTAGCAGCCTACGAGGGGATAACCCCCCATGATGCTGCTGCAGCCGATTCTCCTCTTGCTGCTGCTGTTGCTTCTGCTGCTGCTGCTTCTGCTTCTTTCCCTTCTCCTTCTCCTCCTTATTTTTCTTGCTCTTCTTCGTTGCTTTCTTTGCATCTCTCTCGTTGCTCTGCTCCCCCTCCTCGAGCACAAGACCGGGCATGCCCTGGCGCCAGGGCATGCCCTGTGTGTGTGCGAGAGATTGAGAAGAGACTGACGAGAGAGACGGGAGAGAAAGAGGGGAAGGGGGCATTGCAACCCGAGCGGGCCGATCTGATGCGTCACCTGCAGCACCTGCTGCTGCTGCCGCTGCTGCTACCACGGTTGCAGGGGACATGGCTGAGGAGGAGGAGGAGGCGAGGCGGGAGCGGGGCGATATGGTGTTGTTCCAGGCACTTGGGGGGAAAGCCCGGCGGGGAGAGGAGGGAGAGGAGGGGGATGGGGAGGCTGCAGGGGAGAGTGATGCTGGAAGGAAGCATGAAGGGGTGGCGTTTTTGTAAGGGAGGAGGGAGGTAAGGTGGGGGTGGTGGTACTGCTGCTGCTGCTGCTGCAGTTGTTGCTGCTGCTGCTGTTGCTGTTGCTGTTTCTGTTGCTGGTGCTGGTGCTGCTGGTGCGACATGTGCATGTATTGTGACAGACTGATGCCGTGGCGGCTGTGGTGAGACGCAGATGACGACACACTCCCGCTGCCTGCTCGTGCTAGGACGCCACTGCCACCACCACCAGCAGCACCAGCAATAGCACCACCCACAGCAGCAGCAGCAGCAGCAGCAGCAGCAGCAGCAGCGGCAGCAGCGGCAGCAGCGGAGGGAGCAGCAAGCATGGCGGGAGAGAAGCCCGCAGGGCGGAGGCCAAGAGGGGACCTCCCTGCAGGGTGCCATGGAATGGGCACTGCTTCCAATTGCCTCTCAGGCTCACTCCTAGCCTTGGACAGCCACCTCCCCTTGCTCCTACTGCTGCTCTTACTCTCCGTTTTGCTCTTGCTCTTGCTGGCATTGCTACTGCTGGCGTTGCTCTTGCTGCTGCTCTTGGTCTTGCTCTTGCTGCTGCTGTTCTTTTCTTTGCCGCAGCTCTTCTTTCCCCCGATGCCAGCGCTGCTGTCATCGCATTCGCCGCAACCCGCATTGCTCACAGCTCTGACCTCCCCAAGATCAGCCTCCCCCAGGTGAACCTCCCCCACGCCCGTTTCCCCAAGCGCCAGATCCTCTGCTAGGAGATCCTCCCATCCCGCTACATCTTGGCTACAGCTGGACCTAGACCGCCCTGCCCCACCAGCAGCAGCACCAGCAGCATTCGTAGCAGCATCACAGGCACCACCTGCACCACTTGCACCTGCACCTGCAAATGCACCCCGGCCACCAACCACGGCGCGACAGCTGGCAGAGGATGCCGGAGAGAAGCGCCCTGAGGAGAAATTTCCGGAGGAGGGCCTAGAGAAGGTCTTAGAGGTGGCTACTGCTGCTACTGCCGCCCCTGCTGCTCCTCCTCTTGATGCTGCTGCTGCTGCTTTTGCTGAGGCAACGGCAGCAGCGGCAGCAAGGGAAGAAGACTTGGGGCGAGAACGGGAAGCGGAAACGGCAGGGGAAGCAGAGTAGGCGGAATAGGAAGTGTAGGAGGATGGGGAGAGAATAGGGGAGGGGAGAAACATGGAGGAGGAAGGGGAGGAGGGGTAGGATGGAGAATGAGTGGGGAGTGTGGAGCCACCGATAGAAATAGAGTGAGGGAAGCGGGGGGCGGTGGAGGAGAGGGAGGAAGGGGGGGCAGCAGAGGAGGGGGAGGGGGAGGCTAGGGAGGAAGGAGCGATGCTAGACATGCTAGGAACGTGAATGCGAAGGGATTGCCAGCGCTGGGCCAGTGCCTTGTGTGACAATGCTGCTGCTGCTGCTGGCACTGCTGCGGTTAATGCTGTTGCAACCACCTGAGAATCCACCTGAGGGGCAGCAGCCCGTACGGCCACCTGAGTCAACACCTGAGCACGCCCACTCCCACTGGCGGACCTTCCACCCTGCTCCACACATGTAGGCCCATACACTGCTTCGGCTTCATCTGCCACCACACATCTTCCTCCCCATCCTCCCTCCCTCCCGGCCAATTCACCTGCATCGATCTGTCCATATCTCGCCACCAGAGCCCGCACTTCAAACCCGGAACCCTCCACCAGCAACGCTCCATGCTCGCCTAACCCCGTGCCCGCCTCCAAGTCCGCCTCAAAGTGTGCGTCAATGTCTGCCTTCTCCTCGCCCCCATTGCCCTCCACCACCACATGTCGCCGCTCCTCTTCCCCACTGCTGCACCCCCCGCACTCGTCCAGAACGAGAACATCAGCATCAGCATCAGCATGAGCATGAGGATGACCTCGCACCACCGCGCCGGGACGTGAACGAACATCAGCTTCCGGCCTTTGGGTGGCGGACTCAAACGGCAGCAGCAGCATCTCCCTATCCCCATCCCCATCCCCAAACCCAACCTCGCCGCCCTCACCGCACTCGCTGGTCTCGTCCAGAATGAGCACGTCCGCATCCCCCCGCACCACCACTCGGCCTTTCTCCACCCCGCCATCACCATCACCACACGCGTCGCTAAACGCATCACTGAATGCACCACCGTTTGCGTCGATGGATGCATCGCCAAGTGCATCCTCGTAATTAATATTGCCATTTCTATACCCCATGTCATGGGCACCACTTACCCCTCTCGATCCCACCTGAGCCCCCCATCGTCCCGCCCTTTCCCAAGGGGGGGCCTCCGTCCAGCCCATCCCTTCCCTCTCACTCCCATGCACCTGCCCTGCTGAGCCCACACTTCGAAATTCAGATGCCCTATCCACAGCACCAGCAGCACCAGCACCAGCAGCAGCCGCAGCAGAAACAGAGACCGCCGTCGCACCGCGCCTTTGTTTCCGGCTATCTTCTCGCTTGCGGCTGCTGCTGCTGTTGCTGCCACTTGCCGTCTTCACACGCCTCTCTCTCTCTGCCCTGCTCCCACCTCTCCCGCCCCTCCCACTCCCGCCCACGCTCCCACTCCTGCCCACGCTCCCACTCCCGCCCCTGCTCCTGCTGCTCCTGCTGCTACTGGCGTTCCGTGAAGGGGAGTGGGAACGGGAAAGGGCTTGAGTGCGGGGATGAGAGGCACGTGAGTGAATGCGGGGGCTGTCTGCGGGTGAAACGCCAACGCCATCACCAGACACACAGGGGGATGGGGGTTGACTCAAACGAGTGGCGATCGCAGCTGCAGTGGCTCCTGCTTTAGTCACTCCCCTTGCTTTAACCACTCCCGTTCTACTCACGCATGTTTCAGTCACGGCTGCTGCTGCAGCAGGAGAAGCAAGAGGGGCGGCCGAGCCAGGCATGGATAGAGCGTGAGAGAGAAGGGGGGAAGAAAGGGAGGAGGAGGAGAGGAGAGTGGGCCGCACGGCAGTGCTTCTCAGTAGATGGGAGGCCCCCAAACTGGTAGGATGATCATTAATACTCTGGTACTGCTGCTGCTGCTGCTGCTGCTGGTCCATCCACTCTCCTTGGCCTCCTGCCCGTCCCACCCTCCCTCCAGCGGTCCCTGCCCTTCTACTAGGCTCTCCTGCTAGCTCTCCTGCGTCCTCTTGCCGTAACGGCTGCAGCAGCACTCGGCCCTGCTTCTCTCCCCCGCCCTCCCCTTCCCCGTTGATCATCCCAGCCACGCAGCTCTTGCTCCTGCTCATGCTGCTACTGCTGCCCCTGCTGCTCCGGCTGCTCCTGCTGCTCTTGCTGTTTCTCTCTGCATGGCTGTCTCTGCTGCTCTGTCCGTTGTTATTGTTGTTACTGTTACTGTTGCTGATGATGCTGGTATTGGTGTTGGTGTTGGTGTTGGTGCTGGTGCTGGTGCTAACGCTGGTGCTGCTACTGGCGTTCCTCCCTCCTCCCGAAGCCCCGCTCCTGCTCTTGCTCTCCCTATCTTTCCTTCCCATAGCGCCCCCCCCTTCCTGCTCTCTCCGCTCTTCCACCCGCCTCTCTTTCTTCTCCGCTGCTCCCCCCGCACTCCTAGTTCTCGATGCCCCTATGCGCCCCTTCCCTCGAGGCGTTTCTTGAGGCGTGGTCTGGTTCCGGGGGTGAGGGGACTCAACAGCCGTCTGACGCGGGCCAGAAATGTGGAGAGGCGTGGTCTGGGGGTGAGGGGACTGGACAGCAGCTGCACCCACGCCCGCGCCTGCCTCGTTTTCAGGCGCCTCTATCACCACCCTTGCCTCTGCATCGTCTCCAGCAGCTGCGGCAGCAGCAGCAGCAGCACAGCCTGACGTACCACCGTCCCCAGCTGCGCCTCGTTTCCTTTCCGCACCAATCAGACGCTCCCCCCGCGGTAACTGCCAGCTCCCCTCTGCTTCTTCGCGCCTGCGTCCCTTGCCTCGTCCGTCCCGCCCCTCCCCATGCTCCTCCCCGCGCCCCTCCCCGCGCCCATGCACTCGCCCTTGGCTACTCATCCCTCCACTTGCTCGCCTCTCCCTCTCTACATCCCCCTCATTCCTCTTCCCCCCACCCCTTCCCCCGCGTCCTTCACTCCTCTTATCTCTCTCCCTCACCTCTCCTCCTTTCCCTCTTCCTCCTCCCTCTACCCCATCCTCCCCCCTGCGCCCCCCCTCTCCTGCTCTTCGTCCCCTTCCCTCCCGCTCGGCCTCCTCTTCTCCCTCTCCCCCTATCCCGCCCATGCTCCCTCCTTCGAGATATTGGCGCTTACGCCGTCGCGTACGACCAGTGTGCTAGTCGCTAATAGCTGTGCCGCGTTCTCGAGTAGTAACCTCATATCAAGTCGGCCCTACCAGCGGGAGACAATTTACCTCCAGCCGAATTGCGGTCAAATTTCATAATACCGTGGTACTCTCTGAAAAAAAAAAAAAAAAAAAAAAAAAAAAAAAAAAAAAAAAAAAAAAAAAAAAAACTCGCTGGCTCGCAGACAAAGGCATGTCGCAATACTGAAGTGAACGACTCGGGACTGCGACGGATGCGATCATCGTTCAGCCTCTCGCCACCTGCCACGTGGCCTCTAACATCCAGATTCAGCCGGTACTCACTACACGCTTCCAACGTGCGAAATCGTATCCACTGGCAAGGAGTCGTAAGCGGAGTTGTAAGCTAGGCTGTGTTAGGTTTTAAATAATCCTCATCAATCAACTCCACCAGGAAGGCCGAGCCGAGTAAAGGGCCGCAACCGTAAGACTCGCACAACAACCCGACTGAAACTGGAGCTCGCAAATAGGAGGCAAATGACAGGGGAGGGGAGGAGCCGAGAGAAACTAGTCACTAAAAATCGTTTTGGCAAAATACCATACTAAACCGTTCTAGATTTTTATTTGACCGTTCTAGAACGTTATATATATTTGCGAACCGGAATCGGACGTACTTTAGTGACACGCCCTAAGCCAATGCATTTCGAGTGCCCCTGTGCCATTCCGAGTGCAAGTCGATGGCATGGCATGGCACTCCCAACAAGTAACGGTTCGGCAGTTTGAACAGCGGTTGTGTGGTGGAGTTGGGGATCACACCAAGGGAAAATTTCTGCCGCGGACTGTCCACGAAAATTTTCATACTTTCGTGGACAAGCCCTACTTTCATGGACACCACATCGAAGTTTTGCTTCTCCTGTGGACTCCGTCAATACTTTCGTGGACTCCCGGCTTACTTCCATGGACACACCCATATTCGCAGTTAAAAAGGAGTATTCAGCAATGTACAAGTGATTACGGGCACAAAAATCGAGATACTCCAGAATATCTGTCCGTCGCAAGTAGTCGCGAGCTACAGTGTCGGAAACCAGTTCTGAAACAGAATCTCGGAGCTTTTCTGGGAAGAGTTTGCAGCCGCACTCAAATATGCAGTGAATTTTCAAAAACAGGGTGTATTAGGGTCCGCGTGGTAAAAACACTTATTATTCAACTCAGAGCTACCCAACAAAACATAATATGCACGTGCTTGACGAGCCAGCATCAACCAGCAGTTGTTTTCTCCTTCATAATAAATAATTTCATTATTAGTAATTCTGTGAAAAAAAAACCTAAGAAATATAATTTTTAGAATCACTTGTTTTTATTTGCATTAGTATGTTTCTCGTTCAAACATAAAAAAAATATTCCCAAAAACTTGAATCTAAAATAGTTGTATCATTTTCTCATCTATTATTATTTTACTATGTACCGAAATTTTAATAATAATACAATCAAGACGTGAAACCTTCCATTTATATAGTCATGTTCACCAAACGTTATTGGTATTCTGAGATTTCACATCTTAGTTGAAAATGCAAGCCAAGTACTAGTTGAAATATTTGTAAATGCCAGAATTCATGGTATTCCTGATTCTTGGTAGGCAGAGATTTTTAATGAGCTCTATTAATCTTGTAAGCGTAATATCTATCTTTATTCTACAACGTGATTTTTTTGTAGCGATATTTCACCAGGTCGGTCTGATACACTTATCGTTCAACTAAAAGCGCTTCGTGACAGTCATTCAAATGAATTTTGAGGATCGCTTCAGAGTTTCTTTAAACACGCGAAACAGCTAGCGGACTTGGTGGCTTGAAAATACTGTAGCTTGCGACTATTTGCGAGGGACTTGATTACGCCTAATTTTGCTTTTTTTCTCCTGTCAGCATCTGTACAGTTCTGTATGTTTTTTTTGTTTCAAACTCGCGTGTGTCCATGGAAGTAAGCCTGGAGTCCACGAAAGTATTGACGGAGTCCACGGGAGATGTGAAAGTTCGATGTGGTGTCCATGAAAGTAGGGCCTGTCCACGAAAGTATGAAAAGTTTCGTGGACAGTCCGCGGCAGCAATTTTCCCTCACACCAAACTTCAGTGGTGTTGCCCCAATGCCCCCCCACCGCCTCCCACCCCTCCCCCCTCAACCCCTGCAGTGCTGCCGTGGGGCAAGTTTTGGTTGTGGTGGAGTCTGGGCAGCAGTGATTTGGTGCACGGGCACCTGAATGACGACGAATGGCGACGATGTCGCAGAACCTTTTTCCTTCATCTACGACAGCCAGTGGGAATCGCGTGTAAAGGTTGTGGGGAAAAGTTTGCGTGTCGTCGAGTAACCAGGCATGCTGCCCGAAACACCGTGACGTCATATGGCAGGGATGTTCTGTGCTTGATCATTTTCCGTTACGCAAATTCGATTTGCACGTTCTGATAGATACACGAACCCTCAAGCAGGTGTACTACCGGGTAAATTGAAGAATAGAGAATTATGAACGGAGCTTCCAAACAAACTAGGTGCAAGCAAGGCAACTTCATCTCCCTTGAGGCTGCCCAGCGAACGGTAACATGCACACAGCACGAGCCATGCACGACCCTATCATTCCCAAAAGACAGTAAAGAATCGATTTCATGAGAAACTGTAAAAAATGCAGCAGCACTAAACCCTAGTGCTCCAAAAGGTGCCACTTAATACTAGATTCATTCCCCACGTATCAGTGTCTGGCGTGGCTCTGCGAATTTGAAACCGGCAGTGCCATGGAGCCTTGGGGATGCATGAACCCTGACCGTTGCTGCTGCTGTGGCTGCTGCTGCGGCTGTTGCTGCTGCTGCTGCTGCTGCTGATGTTGCAAATGCTGCTGTTGGAACTGAACCTGCTGCAGCTGGTGCTGCTGCTGCACATGCATCGAGGCAGCAGCTCCAGCCATGCCCATGCCACCGAAGCCGTCCACATCGCCATGTTGCATGTGCATGGGCTGGACCATTATGCCTGCCCCTGCAGGCCCAGGTCCCATGTCACTCGACATCCGATGCCGAACAGACCCAGAGGACCCCATGGGCAACCCTGCACCTGCTGCTGCTGCTCCTGCCCAGTCATACTCTGTTGCTACACCCATGCGCCCTCTTTGATATGGCATGGGCATGTGCATATGGCTGGGGCTCACAGCTGAGCTGGACATGCTACGGGGAAAGCCTGGGCCTCCTGCCACTCTATGCTGCATCTGCTGCTGCTGCTGCTGCTGCTGCTGTGGCTGCTGTGGGGAATAGTCCACCGTGGCTCCCCCCCCTGAAGGGGGAGGTGTGGCAAAAGACCCAGCCCGTACCGAACCAGTCACACCTGCACCGGCCAGCACCGCGCCCCCCTGTGCTTGGGCTGCTGCCAAGCCTGGGTGCGGCCCTAGAGTGTGGCCTTGCTGAGGCGACCACCGCCCCGACGCAGCGGGACGAGCAAAGTGCTGCTGCTGCTGCTGCTGTGGCATCTGCTGCTGTTGCATCTGCTGCTGCTGCTGCTGCTGTTGCATCTGCTGCTGCTGCAGTTGTGGCATCTGCTGCTGCTGCTGCTGCTGCTGCTGCTGGTGTTGCTGTTCATGTACTTGACCTTGCCAGGAGTTCAGGGTAAGAACAGGAGCAGACAGCCCTGCTACTCCCCCCCCTCCTCCCTCCTCTGCTACAAAGGGGTGTGAGAGCAGTTCAGCAGCGGAGGGGCGCTGGGCGGGGCTGTGGCGCAGGCAGCGCAGCACAAAATCCTTGCCCTCGGGGGAGAGGGTGTCTGGAATGGCTGGCAGGTCGCCGTTCTTCAGCTTGAACACAAAGGAGAACTGCCGTGCGGGAGAGAGAGAGAGAGAGAGAGAGAGAGAGAGAGAGAGAGAGAGAGAGAGAGAGAGAGAGAGAGAGAGAGAGAGAGAGAGAGAGGGGGGGGGGGGGGGGGGCGTGGGAGAGAGAGGGAGAGGGAGGAAGAGAGGAGGGGAGGAGGGAGGGAGCGTGGGAGAGTGAGTCAAGGTTGAAGAGGGGTTGAAGGGACATGTTGAGAACCTAAAAAGGGCTGTAGTTCTGGCGACGTTCTGACGCTTGACAACATAGCAAAGTCGTGCTTCCATGCAACACATTACCCCACCCCCCTCATCGTCATCGCCCTCTCCCTGCCACCCCAGCCCTCATGCCACCCTCAGCCTCCCTCTCACTCTCTCCCCAATCCCGACACCCGACCCGACCAACTCTCTCTCCCCCTCACTCACCCCCTCCAGGTGGCTCCAGGGCGGTTTCCCCTGTGCCATCTCCAGCACCGTGCACCCCAGGCTCCAGATATCCGCAGGTAGGCCGTAGCCGCCTGACACCGCCCCCAGCACCTGAGAATAGGCACGCACGTGAGGGAATGTGTGAGTTGGGTGAGCGGGGGGGGCAGGATGACACAGACTGAGGATGGAGGATGGTTGTGTGGAGGGTGGGGCACGAGCAGCAAAGGGGAACAAGGAGCCGTTCTCCCTCTTGAGCGGTCCAAAAATAGTTAAGTGGCAGAAAAGGGGCCAGGAGAGAAATAACTACTGAAAGGGCGCTGCAGGAGGATGGGAGGGAAGGGGGGGAAGGGGGGGGAGGGGTAGCTTCTGAAAATGCTTTGTGGGCAAAAGGACTAGAGGAGAGGGCGGAGAGGATGGGAGCCAATGGCGGTTACCTCAGGCGTCATCCAGTAGGGGCTGCCCTTGGTGGAGCATGCCATCATGCATGCTGCAATCCAGCTGCGATATTTTAGGCGCCTAAAAAATCGACTCACTACTAGAGGAGAGGAGAGGAGAGGACAGGTGAGGAGAGGATAGAAGCAAGGGGGCGCATACCTCAGGCGCCATCCAGTAGGGGCTGCCCTTGGTGGAGCATGCCATCATGCTGCGATCCAGCTGTGGGCGGGGACGGAGCACGAGCACGAGCACAGGGAAAGGGGCAGAAGCAGGAGTGGGAAGGGGGCGAGAGCAGGAGCGGGAAGGCGTAAGGCAGATGAAAGAGAGGGGGGAAACGGAGAGCAAGTGGGGAAAGCGGGGAGGGGGGCGAGGAGAGGAGAGAGGGGTGGTCAGGTTCGGAACCAAGAAGGGAGGGGCGTAATAACGAAACAGTGTGATGCAGTGAGTGAAGAATAGAGACTGGAAGGGGAGGTGGGGATTGGAAACGAGATGGTAAGAGAGGAGCTTGACATACCTGACTGGGAAACACACTACAGTATGTACATTCCGGATAGCAGATAGAGCAGAGAAGAGGCAAGGAGAGGGGAGAGAGCGGAGGGGGGAAAAGCGGAGGGGGGGTGTAAGCAGAAAAACCAGTGACGAGGTAAGGAGTGGGGTGAGAGAGGAGTGGGAAAAAGGGGGAGGAGGGGGGCGAGAGCGAGAAAGGGGGAAAGGTGGAGGGGGGGCGAGGATGGCTTACATTCTTGGCCATGCCGAAATCTGCGAGCTTGACCTGACCCAGAGAGTCCACAAGCACGTTAGCACACTTGATGTCCCTGTGGGTGGGTGGGTGGGTGGGTAGGTGGGTGGGTGGGTAGGCGCACAGATGCGCAGACAGACTGACACGCGGACATGGAGACATGGTCACATGGGAACATGGGGGGTCATGGCATGCAGACATGAGGATGGGGGGAGGATCCATCCAGACAGAGAAGTCCGGTGCAAGCACATGTGCTCACGGAGAAAGAAGAGCATACACAAGATAACAACTTTCCCAGCATGCATGCACCTACAGGACTGTGCAGGATCTGGGGCATGTAGAGTCTATTTTTGAGGCGCCTCAAAAATGGACCAAGCAGGATCTGGCGCGTGTACGTGTGGATGAGCGCACCCAACAAGGCGCACTCGCACTTCCGCTCCCCACAGCCGCCTCCAACCCCCCCCAACCCCCCTCCCCCTCCCTACTCTCGCACCACACACTCCCTTCCCCCCCACCTGTGCATGCTGTTCAGCATGAGCAGGTACGCCAGCCCGTGCAGGACCTCCCTTGGGTCTGCGCAGGCGAGCGCCTCTCCAAGCCTCTCTCCGGCACCCATCCCCACTTACCCACCTGTGCATGGTGTTCTGCATGTGAAGGTACGCCAGCCCGTGCAGGATCTGCCTGGTGTATGTGCGGATGAGCGCGTCGCCAAAGCGCTCGTACTTCTTGAGCATGGAGGAGAGCGACGTCTTGGCGAGGTCCAGGAAGATGAAGAGCGTGCCGCTGCGCTGGCACGTGCCCAGGTACCGCACGATGTTGGGGTGCTGCAGGCGACTCATCAGCTCCACCTCCTGAAAAGAAACGGGTGGAAGAAGGGGTGGTGGGAATACGGGTGTGCGTTTAAGTCAGGGCAAAAGCGTGCCCCCGTACCGCACGATGTTGGGGTGCTGCAGGCGACTCATCAGCTCCACCTCCTGGTGACGAAAGGGGTGGGCAATACGGGTGGAGAAGGGGTGGTGGAGAAAGGGGTGGGAGAAGGGGTGGTGGAGGGCGAGGGGAGGCAATACGGGCGTGCATATGAGTCGGGGCAAAAGCGTGCCCAGGTAGCGGACTATGCGGAGGTGCTCCAGGCGGCTCATCAGCTCCACCTCCTGGTGAAAATGGTTGGGAGGAAGCGGTGGTGGAGGAGAGGGGGAGATATTGGGTCATGAGACACAAGGAAACAGGTGTTGTACGATGTTGGGGTGCTGCAGGCGACTCATCAGCGATTCAGCGCCACCTCCTGGGAGAAAGGGGGAGGGAAAAGGGGTACAACGGTGTGCGCAAGGGGCCCGAGATTGGGAGGTGCGCTGGTGTGTCGGCAGGGTGAAAAGGCAGGAAAGGGAAGGGAAAGAAGAAGCGGAAAGGAGGAGCAGCTAGACGAGCATGGGAAAAACAGAAAGGTGGGGAAAACATATAGTGAACACTTTTTTTTTAACCTTCCTTCTACAGAGATACTAAAAAATAACTGTGTACCTGCTGGGATTCTCAACCTGAAAGATGTCACTTCAGCCGTGATCAGAATTGCGCAGGAAACCGGCAGTACCGTGTTTCATCTTGATGCTTAGCTTGTGCTTTGAACGCTTGGAAACTAGATACTGTACCAAATCCAACGCGCACACGGCAGCGCAACACGAACCTGCTCTATCTCTTGGGCGAGCGCTGGATCTCCGTTCAGCGGAACCTCCTTCAACGCAAAAAAGCTCCCATCCTCACTGCACAAGCAGGTTGGCCAAAACAGGTGCACAGGTGGAGAAGAGGCGTGGGGTGGGTGGGTTGGGGGGGGAAGTGGGGGAGGGGGAAGCGAGTGCAACCGAACCAGGGAGAGGAGAAGGCGTGGAATCATACCCAAACGAACGACAGGGCAATCTTGCACGAAAGCACCGACACTGTGAGCGACCGCGGAAGAGCGCGTTTACTTCAAACTCACAGTTTGAGCACCCAATACACACCCAGCTCCCGTAGCTGCCCCGCCCCAGCTCCTGCCCCCCGTGGTAAAAGCCTAGTTTTGCGGCACCTAAAGTTGAGAGCGCGACTACTTATAACTCACAGGTTGAGCCCCTCATACACAGTGCCGTAGCTGCCCCGCCCCAGCTCCTGCCCCTTGGCCCATCGCACAGGGCACGATCTGGAGTCCTTCTGCCCTCCACTTGACGCGCCTGCAGCCCCGGACCCAGACGACCGGGGCAACGGCGCGTCGGACGCTGCAGAGGCGCTACTGAGCGGAACGGAAGGAAGTGCGGACGGAACCGCAGGCGAGGGGAGCGCAGAGGGAAGCGCGGAGGGAAGCGCGGAGGGGGACGCGGCGGGCAAGGCCGCGGGCAGCGGCTGTGCGTGCTGCTGGGAAGCTTTGAGTATCGACGCTCCGGGCCCTGCGCCTAGCACTAGAGTACTACTTAATCCTGACGCGTCTGTTCCTCCTAGCCGGCCGCCTTGGGACGGGAGCGAGGAGGAGGAGAGCAATGGCGGGGGGAGGGAAAGCGGCTGTGCTGTGCGCACGCGCGAGCGGGATAACACAGAGCGGCTCCCCCCTTCTTCTCCTTTGGCGGCTTCCCCCCCAGTGGACAAACCCCCCTGACCTCCCGCCGATTTTCCGCTGCCCGTGCTGCTTCCGCTGCTGCTGGTGCTGGCTGGGGGAGCGGCGGGGAGGGCGGTTTGGGGAGGTGGCGCGGGGAGTGTCGCCGCGGTTGGGGGAGTGGGGAGAGCGTGTGCGGCTGCGGCGGCTGCAGCTGCGGCTGCTCGTGCGTCGAAGCCTAAAGTGGTGATATCGGTAGAACTACCTGTGGTCTTGCGGCGAAGAGAGGGGGTTGAGGAGGAGGACGAGGAGGAGGACGAGGAGGAGGAAGATAAGGAGGAGGAAGAGGACGACGACGAGGAAGACGAGGAGGAAGAGGAAGAGGAGGAGGAGGAAGAGGAGGAAGAGGGGAGTGATGAGGAGGATACGGAGGATGAGGACGAAGAGGCGGAATGAACACCTAAAGCATCGGAGACTGAGGGAATACTAGGGAGAGTCTTAGCGCCCGAGCTACTACCTACGACGACACCGCCAGCGCCAGCACTGCCACCAGAAGCACCTCCTGCGGCAGCAGCAGCAGCAGCAGCAGCAGCAACAGCGGAAGCACCAGGAGGGGAACCCGCGGCTTCAGGAAGCGGGACGGCGGAAAGAGGGCGCGGGGACAAGCGCGAGGGGTCGATCTGAAACACGACTGCTTGCCGGCCATTCGGGGATAGACTCTGCTGCTGCTGGGTCTGCTGCTGCTGCTGCTGCGTCTGCTGCTGGTGAAGGTGGTGGTTGTGGGAATTATGTCGTGATTCCGACACCCCCCCCCCAGTGCTTGCATCCACGGGCAAAGCCGCGGCGGCGGCGGCGGCGGCGGCGGAGGAGGAGGAAGAACTGCTTCTTTCCTTGATGCTTCCCCCGGTGCTTGTGATAAACGAGGCTAGGCGTAGCCCGCGTGACGTACTTGACGGCGCGTCATCCGACCGGCTACTTGACAGAGTGGGCGCCGTCAGCGGCCGGGGGGAGAGATTCGACGAAACGGAAAGGGCAGAGGCGGACAAAGAGGACAGAGGTATAGAGGAGGACGAGTAGGAGGAGGATGAGGAGGCAGAGGCAGAGGAAGCGGAAGAGGAGGAGGAGGAAGTAACGGCGATGGGAACGGAAGAGGCGGAGGAAGAAGAAAGCCGAGTGCTCGGAGAGGTTGACCCCGACGCTGGGGAACACGACCTAGGGGGCAGATTCGCCAGCGGATTGGCGGAAGCAGGGGCAACCCCGGCGACGGCGGTACCGGTGGACGGCGAGGCTGGCGGAAGGCCGGGCGGCGGGGAGGAGGTGGAGAGCACCGACGGGGAAGCGGTGGCGGAGGAAGGGGCGGAAGCGGAGGTCGTTGCGGAAGTGACGGAGGAGAGAGTGGCGGACGAAGGGGACGCGGGGGGTGCCGGGAAGGGGAGGCGGAAGCGGAGAGGCGATTAGCAAACGGCAGGACGAGCGGGGCGGGAACCGATCTGCCTAACACTCCTCCGCCTCTTGACCGGCGGGAGTCTCCGCTGGATGTGGCGGAACCTGAAGAGCCCCGGGACTTCTCCCCGTGCGGCGTCCGCTTAGGGCTGCTATTCACCGCGCCCTCGCCGGTTACGCCCTCTAATAAGCGACCTCCCACGAGCTTGATTGCGGGACCTATTAAGCTGCTGCCGGCCCCGCTACCGCCGCCGGCAGAGGGCCGGCCGGCGGCGGAACCGCCGGCAGGTCCGGTTGAAGAGGTCAACACGCCGCCGTCGGGGCTGGACGGAGACCTGGCGCCGTCGCGTCTCGCCCAAGGAAGAAAACGAGCAACGCGACTTGATACTCCTCCTCCTCCTCCTCCCCCCCCGCTGCCGCCGCCTTCAGATGTTACGCCGGACATTCCGGCGATCAAATGGGATATGCGGAGTTACGACGGTGGGAGCGCGCGGAAGCAGGGGATGAGTAGAGGGGGATGACGGACGATGGGGTTATGTGCTTTGGGGCGGTTCGACGCAGTTCCGGTAGACCGAAATTTCGAGAGAGATAGAGAGTGAGAGAGAGGTAGGAGAGTGCGTAAATGGGAAGAACTGGGTGGGAATGAGAGCATACAGAGGAGAGAGGAGGGAATGTGAAACTAAAAGACAGTGGGATAGACAGAGACGCGTGGGAGAGCGAGAGCGTTAGGAGCGTGCCAAGCCTGAGACATGGTGAGTATATGCTGCCGCCAAGTAAGAATCCTTGAGTCCAGAGTATATAAATGATCAGGTGCTCGGGCTAGGAAGCGAAACGATACTTCAGGTCGGACCCAGTCGATCGGAACAAGAAATAGAGGCACCAAAAAAGTCTGATGCAGCGGACTATCCCTGGATACATGCATCGGCCTCCGCTATCGCTGACCACAGCTACCGACCTTTCATCCAGCAGAATAAGAAGCACGTATAATTTAGGGTTGGCGGACTGGACTAGTGGTAAGCGCATTGGAATGGAGTCCTAGCCCTAGTTCGCCAGAAAGATGTGTGGTCGTCAGGTGAAGTGATATGCTGGCTGGTGCTACTCCAGCCGCACGCATCTCATCCGCGCTACAGTACTGGGCGACTGTTCTGTCTTCTCATTTCATCTCAGGGCGTATCCCTAGCAAGTGTCATTGCGAAAACAATGTCTTCCGAGAAATCTGGAAACGGAGATCCGTTTAGTTGAGATTCTAACGCATGCGATTGGTTTCCAAAAGTCTCGAAATACATTTTTCACGATGACACCTACTACGGATACGCCCTTATCCGCGCTACTGGGCGAGAGTACAGAAGTTGGTTGGTTGCTCTCGCCTTGGCTGGTTGCTCCCGCCTTGCTTGGTTGCCTGTGCGCTGATCTCGAGGGGGGGTGAAGGGCGGCGGAATTCCCAGGGTTCTGTCCGGCTCTGCCAGGGTTCTGTCTGGGTTCCGCCAGGTTCTCCCCCAACCGATCCCATGTTTTGTGCAAGTGGGGGGGGGGGGAGGTTGGGCAAGGCCTGCGCCGACGCGGAGCAGCAGTGCGCTGCATCCCGCCAGCAACCGCAACAGACCCCGTAGCCCACATGCCCCGTAGACCTCCCTCCCTCCCCCCCACCCCCAGCGTTCCCCCTTCAGCGGAACTTTCGAGGGTCTGGGCATGATCACACACGAGTGAAACCACACCATAGTCCAGTTGGTTCTCGTATGATGTTCCGTGAGCTCACAATCAATCGCTCTGTAAAACACTGACGAAAATATAAATGAAATGCGTAGGATCCATAACTAGATGCACTTTTGAAAACAAAGGGAGGGTGAATGTTAACACCAAACTCCAGGGTCTCATATTCGTTCTAGGGAGGCTGATTGCTCAGGCCTGCACTTCAAAGAACCCATTCTTCTGGGTAGTTTCATTTTCTGGCCTGAAAATTCAGGCTGAAATTTTCGAAAGGCTGACGAATCAGGGTTGGGTTTGTTCAATTATGCATTTTGTTATACAGTAGGGTTTAGGGCTGAAAATTCAGGTTGAATTTTTCGAAAGGCTTGGTATGTTTATCGAACTCTACTATAGAGGGTATAACTCCCTACTTGTATGCCTCTCTCTTCCTAGTCTCTCCATCTTTTCTCTCAACTTTATCCTTCCTAAACCTCACGCCATTCCATGGATTCCTCCTACTCCTAGCTACCTTAGTTAAGCATGGTATCAGAGCAGGCCCCTTTCGCTCGGGCCTTCTCCTCACGCTTCCGCAGCATACTCCCCCCCTGTCACGCCGCGCTGGCTCTGTCATGCCACGCTGGCCCCGTCACGCCGCGTTGGCCCCGTCACGCCGCGCCGGCCCCATCACTCCGCACCGGCCCCATCCCTCCACGCTGGCCCCGTCACGCCGCGCTGGCCCCGTCACGCCGCGCTGGCCCCGTCACGCCGTGCCGCCGTCTCGCCGTCCCGCCATGCCGCCGTGCCACGGTGCCGCTGCGGCCAGCGCCCTATCCTAGGCGCCAGCCGTAACGCCCCCACGCCAGTAAGCGTCGCGCCAGCCATGGTGCCTCGCTGAAGATTCGCCCTCTCCCGCCAGTAAGCGCCGCGCCACCCATGGCGCGTCGCTGAAGATTCGTCCCCCCCCTGCCCCCCCTTTCCTCTGCGTCTCCTCTTCCTCCTGCCGCAACTGCTGTCTTCTACCCGGTCGTCGCCTCGCCGTGCCACACCGCCGAGAGCCTTCAGCCATGGCCGTTGCCCGCGCTGCCTCTCGCCGGGGGATGTCACCATGCCAAGCCCGATGAGTAGATACCCGGATGATCTCGAGCATGGGGGTGTAAGGGGTTAGGGGGTGTGTGTGTTGGGTGGGCTTGTGACAACCAAGCCTAGGGGGTGTGCTAAATAATATATTCTGTTATATAATTGGTAAGCTTGGTAGGTTTACCGAACTCTACTGTAGAGGGTACAACTCCCTCCTTGTATGCCTCTTTCTTCCTAGTCTTTCCATCTTTTCTCTCCTCAACTTTCTCCTTCCTAAGCCTCACACCATTCCATGGCTTCCTCCTACTCCTAGCTACCTTAGTTTAACAGGGTTTTGAGACGCGCTGAATTAGTTCGTCATGCGATTGAACGAAACCCAGTGTTTTCAAGGAATTGCCGAAACCCCACCGACTGGCTGTTTCCGCGCAATTGTTGCCAAGGACAAATCACGTCCCTCACACCCGCGCTAGCCTACCTCGGACAACCAGCATGATATTTGGTCTAAGGATCGATCTGTCAAACATATGTGTATATGTTACTATAGCCTAGTTAGGGGCATGCCTTAGAGAGTACAGCTCATTAGGTCAAAACCACACTGTACTCTTGTTTCTAGTTCACTCCGCTACTCTGAGATGGTATCAGCTAAGGTTAAATCCGCCCACCCGCTTCTGCCCTAGCCCTAGCCTTAGCGCCAGGCCTTATTTTATCATAGTAAATCACATTGTTTCTCTAAAAATCAGAGTCATTTTTGAAAACCACTCTGATCGTCCTGGGTAAAATTTTGAAAGTATATGTTTTCTCTGATTGATCAGAGTTGGTCTATGTGTCAAACATATTTGTATGATTTATAATAGGCTAGATAGGTGCATGCTCTTAGAGGGAACAAAATCAAACTATATGCCTCATTCTAGTTTACTTTTCTACTCTGAGATGGTATCACACGCTAGGTTAGGTCCTCCCCGCCCACCCGCACTTCCGCTCTCGTCCTAGTTCTAGCCGTCCGCCCCTTACCCGCCCCTTAGCGCCCCGTCGGCCCCGTGCGCCCTACCAGCCCGTTAGCGCCCTTCCGCCCCCGATAGCGCCCCGTCGGCCCCATGCGCCCCCTCTAGCCCGTTAGCGTCCTGCCGGCCTGTTAGCGCCCTTCCGGCCCCATTCGCGCCCTTTGGCCTTGCTCGTCCCACCGGCCCGTTAGCACCCCGCCAGCCCGTTCTTGCTTTACCAGCCCCGTTAGCGCCCCGTCGGCCCCATGCGCCCACCCTGGCCCTGCTCGCCCTGCTGGCCCTTAAGCGCCCCGCAGGCCCGTTAGCGCCCTGATGGCCCCGTTCGCGCCCCTCTGGCCCCTCTCGCCCCGCCGGCCCGTTAGCGCCCCGCCGGCCCATTAGCGCCCCGCCAGCTCGTTAGCGCCCCGTCGATCCCGTGCGCCTCTCTGGCCCTACTCGCCCCGCAGGCCCGTTAGCGCCCCGCCGGCCCGTTAGCGCCCCACCGGCCCGTTAGCGCCCCGCCGGCCCGTTAGCGCCCTACCGGCGCCGTTAGCGCCCCGTCGGCATCGTGCGCCCCACTGGCCCTGCTCGCCCCGCTGGCCCGTTAGCGCCCCGCCGGCCCGTTAGCGCCCTACCGGCCCCCTTAGCGCCTCGTCGGCCCCGTGCGCCCCTCTGGCCCCGCTTGCCCCACCGGCCCGTTAGCGCCCTGCGGGCCCCGTCAGCGCCCAGTCGGCCCCTGCGCGCCGTCGGCCCTCGCCTGCCAGCAGGCCAGCTAGCCACCCCGCCAGCCGGCTCCAGCCTAACTGGCCCCCGCTTCAGCAGCCAGCCGCCGGGCAGTCGAGTCACAGCGCCGACCCACTGCCTCTGGCTCCCTTCAGCACCGGCTCCCCTACCGGCTGTCTCCACCGATCTCCACCGCTCTTCACCGCACTCCCCCGCACTACACCGCACTCCACCGCACTACACCACACTCCACCGCTCTCCATCACACTCCAATGCACTACACCGCACTCCACCGCTCTTTAACGCACTCCACCGCTCTCCACTGCACTCCACCACACTACACCGCACTCTACCGCTCTTCACCACTCTCCATCGCTTCATCCCCCTGTCCTCCTCACTCTGTCAGCGGCCGTCCGCAGTGGCAGCTGTGGCGATGGCAGAGTCAAAGCTCTATCAGGACACAGAGGGTCGGGCGCTCGACTTTGAGGCATGGCTCGTCGACCTTCGGCGTCACCTTACACGTCAGCGCCTGGACGGTCACTCCCTGGCTGTTCATGTCGATGGCCTGCTTCCCCGCCCTCCTACGCCTGCTGCCCTCCTACGCCTGCTGCCCTCCCTGATGCCCCCACCACTGCTGAGCGTGAGACCTTTTCCGCTGTTGTGCTAGCTCGTGCTGTCTGGGACTCGCGCGACGCTGTCGCACAGTTTGCTATCAGCCATGCGCTCCCCTTGTCTGAGCGTCCTCGCTTTACAACTGTAGCGAACGCTCAGGCCTTCTTAGATGCTGTCATTGTGCGCAATTCCACCCCCAGCACTGCCTCTGCTGGTTGCCTTATCCTTCTCATGCTGTTCTCTGATCTTGCATCCTTCCCCATTCTCGCCGACTTATCCACGCACCTCCATGCGCTTGAGACAAGCTACCGCTTTGCTAGCACCAAGGCACATCTCACTGCCTTCCCGCCGCCGTTCTGCGCTACCCTTTATCTCATTGCCACGCGCCTCCATGACAGCCTAGCCACAGCCCACGACCATTTCCTTAGTTAGCACCTAGATTACCTCACTCTTACTACCTTTGTCACTACCCTGTCTAAGATAGAGACACGCCAGCGCAGCATCGTTCAGTCTAGCAGTACTGTGGCGATGCCTATCTTTCAAGGCTGTGCTCCCTCCCAGTGCACTTACTCTGACGTCTCTGCTACTGTTGCTGAGACCACTGCTGCAACCTCAGTGCAGGGTAAGGGTTGCCACCCCAGTGGGGGGAAGGGGGGTGGCGGTGCGGAGGGTGCTGACGGTGAGGGCGGGGACAGTGGTCCAGACGAGGGGACCAGAGCTGGTGCCCCGGAGCAGCCGCAGCAGCAGACGTAGCCTCAGCAGCAGGAGCAGCAGACTCAGCAGTCGCCGCAACCGCAGCAATCGTCGCAGCAGCAGCAGTCGTCGTGGGGACCCCTGCCGCTGTGGTGGACTGGCGACGCTAGTGGCGGTGGTCGTGGGGGGGGCGGGCGCAGCTCGATGTTGGATGCCAGCTCCAGCATGGTAATCTGCCAGTACCAAATTCAGACTGGCCCTCGCCGTGGCACC